ATATAGAAGGAGCGCTATTCATGAAATCAGTTTTATCCTCAGAACCATTAGGAGATAAGGATTTGAGTGATGGTTTTAATTTGAGTGATCGTTTGAATTTTTCTTCGAATAGTTATACTAATGCTTATTTTGCACCAGAGCCAACTCCAGATACAGATAGTATATCTAGCGATAACTCTAGTCCTATAAATATGCAAGCTAACCAGGAGGAGGCTGGTAAGCCGGAGGTTACTCTAATATCTGCAGATGATATGACCAGTGAAGGGGATTTGGCTTTTTCACCGCAATTTTTTATACCAGAGTCAACTCCAGATAGTATTTCTAGCGACAACTCTAGTCCTATTAATACGCAAGCTAACCAGGGGATGGGTGAGATCTTAGAGTCAAATCTCGTTAACCGTGATGAGCCAATGCAAGTAGATGGAGATTTGTATCGTGAAGTTATGAATAATGCGGAAGGGGAAGCCGTAATGGAAAGTATAAATCCTATCCTACTTCTTCCTGACCTACCAACTAGTAATCCTGAACCGGTGGATACTGAAGATAGTCCACTGTCTACTGAAGTTAGTCCACTGTCTATGATGTCAGACAGTGAATTCTTCGAGCTAGAACGGGAAATATCTAAGCTAGGAAAGTCTATAGGAAGAGACAAGAAAGGACAAAGTAGTTATAAGTAGGGGCGCAAGCTCTTACTGGTAGATAGCTATAGGTATTATATAAGCTATCTACCGTAGGGGACATAATTTATTTGGTAGAATGCTGACCTTGCATGTTAGAAGGCTCGGTTCGAATCCGAGTGTCTCCATATAAGCACATGTAACTCAATCGGTAGAGTGAAATATTGAAGCTATTTTTGTTGTAAGTTCAAGTCTTACCGTGTGCATAAAAATATAGTGATGATAGCTTATTATTTAGCAATATACCTAGCTTTAGGTTGGGTAGTTATTTCGGCTAGGTCCTAATAAGTAAGCTCCGCTATGTAAAAATAAGAATTAGGAGTAGCT